TCAAGAATAAACCGTGCAATTTCTGAAAAATTCGGGGATAAACAGTGCACTTTCTTTTTAATAGAATAATTAAACACAATTCTAATGTTAGAAAACTTTATTTGTCTTTGAGCCATGTTATGTGTCGAACCATTTGTTGTGTCATGTCAAAATTCATATAAAATTCATATATTTATTATAGGGAGTATTATACAGGGAGTAGGTAATCCCATAATTTTGGTACTATCATTGACCTCATGTTTTGCATAATAAGTGCGCACAAAGATAAAATAACTCTTGGTGCGACACCAAAAATTAGTTTTTATTTCTCTGTACAAAACATAAGGTCAATATGGTCTGAAAATTGTGAGGTTACCCTGACTTGTTTTTTTTGTTATAAACGTGGTATATATCTGGTTTTATTTGTGTATATATAAATGCATGTCATCATGTCGTGTTTGTACATCTCCATAAATGAAAAATATGCATCACTACGATTTTAATTTAATATGACTGGACATTTGACAATGCTACGTTCACAAACAGGATTGGTCACAAACTCCATAAACTTACTATTTATGGTTTGAATTCTCATTTTAAAATTATTTAAGACAATTTAATTTTTTTTATAGAAGTTAACAAATAGTAAGTTTGTGAAGTTTGTGATGATTGTGTTTGTGAACCAAACATTTCCCAATATGAATCCATGTCATATTAATTAAACGAATATAATAAAGAACAAGTCTTAATAGTATTTCCTCCATGTTGATTTTTTTCTTCGATTATACAGCACAATTTAGATTATATACTCTCAAACAAGAAATTAGATTATATACTCCCAATTTAAGTTGTTTATTATTTACATGGTCAAATTTTAATCAAGTTTTTTTTACCTATTTGAGAAAATAATTTAGTCTTATCACTAGTTGTTTTGTAAAAAAACTTTTGATGTAATTTTTAAATACATATAAATCTTATTTTTTTTTAATTTCATACCAATATTTAATTAAATTAAATAAGAAATTACTTCAGTCAAACTTCGTAAACAACATGTGATTTGAATAATATACACTGCATTATAATATTAATTTGATATCAACATATAAATTTATTTTGAAACGTAATTTTAAAATATTAAATTTTTATCATATACTCTGTATATTTATATATAAATACAGATAGTGAAAAATGACTAATAAACCACAAACACAGATACTCTAAAATTGGCAGGTAGATCATATCCATCAAGTCGGGTTTAGGTTCGTTTCTTTAGTGAGTATTTGAATAATTTTGAGTTCAAGTTCGACTTGAAAATCTAATCATTAATCAATAGTACCATAGAGTTCAGATTCGTTTCTGATCTGTTCTGGTTTGATTTGAAAAGTATACGGTCATTAATCATTATAGCATGATATTATACTCCGGTGAATAAAATAAAGTTTTAAATACATACAAGCTTTAAAAAAGTAGGATGACAATATAATATTCTTTATATATAAAAAGGAGACTCCATTCTTTAAGAAGTTGACATTTGGCATATTCAAAGCTTGACATGTGGCACATTAGGAGCTTGGCATGTGGGTATATTATGTGGCAATTTAACCAAATTTACTCTCTTTCATTATTTCACATTTTTTAATCTTTGTTTCAAAAATGATATAAATTAATTACTTATTTTGAACCCATGAATTCAAAATTAGAATTAAAATTATTTTCCATGTAAATTATTACTTTTAATAGAATATCATTTTTTAAGGACTCTACGTACATATATTTTTAATATGTGTCTCGGATTCATAAAATCATAAAATTTACAAAATATTTTTAGAATAATAAATAAAAAACACTCCTCACCCATAAATATATTTTATATTTATTCATTATACATTTACATGATATTCCTTTGGTTGTATTTATTTAAATATTGACACCTATTAAATAAAATATTTCCTTTACCTATAAATAAATTTTATATTTTTATGACACTTAATATGTAACTTAATTTAAGGTATATAAAATGCGAATTCAATGTTTTGGAATAAAACCTTTGAATAAATTTAATTGTTAAAGAGAAACATTCAATTTTATGGAATTACTCTTTCCAATACAATACAATATTTTTTCCTCGCTTCATTTATAAATATTTATTAATAAATAATATGATTTTTTCACATTTAAATAATTTTCATACAAGTATTAGTTTATAATATTTAAAATTAAATTAGTTTTGATTCTATTTATTTTAATAATAATGTAAAATTAAATAAAAATAATACATTTCAATAACTAGATTAAAAAAAAGTTAAAAATCAATACATTACTGGACAAAAATTGATTTTTTTTATTAATAAACAAAACATTCTCTTCATAAATAAATAATATACGAAGTATTATGAATGTTTATGATACCTTTAAATGAAGTTAGTTTGATTATATTTATTTAAATATTGACACCTACTAAATAAATACTTTATTTGCCTATTATGAAATTTCTTATTTTTTAACACATAACATACCACCTATAATATTCTTTTCTCTAATTCAATAGAAGTTAGATTTTTGTTTTATAATAATATTCTTTTTTAATTCAATATTTTTTCTCTTTATGTATAACGAAAAATTCAATTAATAAACACGTAACTCTTTTCACCTTTAAAAACATTTAACGAGTAATTGTTTAGAATATTCTTTAAAAAATTAATTTTGAATGTATTTGTTTAAATAGTTATATAAAATTAAAAATACTGAATATATTTTCAAAACTTTTTTAAAAAAAATTAAAAGAAAATAGATGATTAAGTTATACTAATCTTCAACTACAAAAATACTACACATAATTTGGTAATTTAAATATATTAATTTCATGATTTGATTTAATGACTAGAAAACTTATTACGTTTTAGACCATTTATGATCCAAATTTAAAAATATATTATTTTTAATTATCTATTAGCGAATGATACTTAAATTAAAATATAGAATATAGTTAATCAAAATATGTGTCACCATACCACACTATGCTTACACAAACATTCTTTAAGATTTCAACATCATCGAATAAATTTAAATATGGAACATGGGTCTTCTTTTTAATTAGAATATTCTTTTTAATTTTACATTCTTTTCCATTTCATTTATAATAAACCTTTCAATGAATAAATACGATTTCTTTAGTTGAAAAAGATACTCTCTTTGTCTCCAAATAAATTTTATATTTATTTATGATATGCTTCTTAAATGAAGTTAGTTTTTATTTTATTGATTTAAACATTGATGTGAAAATATAAAATACTCCTGTATATTTAAATATCTAAATTAATATTTTATAAAACAAAATACGCCCAGACTATTTTTTCAATGATTAACTATTTAAATTAAATAAATTAAAAAGTAATGTTTTCACAGGCTTGAATGATTACTCATTCAAAAGTAAAATAAAAAATAAATAAAATTTACCAAATATATTTACAATTTTTCATTCAGAATCATAAGATTACTAATAATTTTTCTAAAAAGTTATTCTTTTTTCAAGGATAGGGCACTACTGGCACCCATGCTTGATGTTGTAGAAATGGTAAATGATTTTTTCATATCCCTCATTATATTCTTGGAGATTAAGAATTTTGAGTATTCATGCCAGACAGATTTAGATGTAAGTGTTGATGCCGATTAGATAACAATTAAGTTTTTGAATGAATTCAAATGTTTGAAGATGTCAAAACACAAAATAGTTTTTAAAAAGGGGTATCAAAATAGTTTGAATAGCTGTGAAAGAGTGTTATCAATGCTTTAATGGTCTTAGGAAATAGATTAGGAAAACAAGTTTACATACCTCAGATGAATTTAGTACCATCTGATCCAGGACTACAGCTGAAGTTCTAGAGAGAATAATTTTCAATACTTTTATGTTTTGCAATGACTATCTACAAAGGTAAAGGCCAACATTGTAATTTGTTGGTTTATTTTAAATCAATTCATTCTTCATTAATGGTCAAGTTAATGTTGTTGTTTAAAGACTGAAGACAAAGACAAGATTACAAATATTGGTTCTGGATAACAATAGAAATCCTAGCAACCATACTAATAATGTTGTATATCTTTAAATCTATCACAAAATTTGGTATTAAAAAACACTTTGTTGAGTGCACATTCAATTCTTCAAAAATTATTTATTTGACTTTGGAATTTTCGTCTATAGTATTAAAAATCATGTAAGAAATATATTTTTTATTTCAAAAAAATATTACATTGAAAAAGTTCTAGAATCGACAAAAATTCCGTTCGATCCCGTGCGTCGCACGGGTTAGAATGCTAGTTATTAAAACTTTGTGAGAAAAAATAAGTTTATCGAGAAAAAAATTAGTAAAAATAAATTTGGTAGTAACATAGTTTTTATCATATTATATCCCACATTAAAATAATAATTTTGAATAATAACATTACTTTAGTGAGTCCTTCATATATATATATATATATATATATATATATATATATATATATATATGTTCTTTTTTCTTCTTGCAAGTGGGCGTTGCGCAATTGGCAAAAGTAGAAAATGCCAAGGGGGTAGACCCGAGTTCGATTCCAGACAACTGTGCCGGGAGGCAATTATGCTAAGCATAATGTTTCTGCAAGTAACTGAAGGTGGCACGGAAGGTGGTGATGGGTGGTAATGATTGACGGTAACGAGACTTCTCCAATTTACCTTCTCTCACTCCAGATTGGCATGACTGTCGTGGAGAATGCAAAAGGCTTCTCCAATTTACCTTCTCTCACTCCGGATTGGCATGACTTCTCCAATTTACCTTCTCTCACTTCGGATTGGCATGACTGTCGTGTATGAACATGCCATGACTGTCGTGTATGAACAGGCCAGACTTCTCCAATTTACCTTCTCTCACTCCGGATTGGCATGATGGTAATGATTGACGGTAACCATCAAGAATGAACAACAATGGAGATGAACAATAACCATCAAGAATGTAGATGGACAGTAACAATGGATGATGAATGGCAACAGCAATAGTAAACAAGCATTGCATCACAATGTACTACTAAACCCAAATGGAAGGAGTATATATCTGGAGTATATCAGATTTCTAAACCCATGCTATCATACATGATTCAAAAAATACACTATAATTTACAGGTACCAGATATGTGTGCACACCAGCAATAAGCATTCTGCATGCTTAATTACACACCAACATATATGTGTCTACTTAACTAATCTTATGCACAAACTATAATGTGTTTCAATTCGATATAGATTTATATCTTGTGCTTGTAAACTTAAGATCATACATACCGCACTACTTGGCGTGAATTTCTGGACCATAAGGCTTGGCGCGAGTGAGCGCCAAGGGTAATAAGTCTCTGATCCGAAGCCCACTTCCCCAGAAAGAGGCAAGGGAGAGACCCATAATGGCCATCGCGACCACGGAGCATGCAGAGGGAACTGCTTGAGTGCTCGCTAAGAACTGAGTCGCGAGTAGGCCTGCCAGTGTTGAGCTTTGCATCCCCGTGCATAATGCAATTGTACGGCACGTTTCTTCATTGAACCTATTAATTATGATTGTCAATAAAAGAACATAATCACAGTTGTAAATTAGACATATGAGAGCACTAGAAATACCCGTGAAGCCCCGGGGTGAAGCCCTGGGGTTTCAAAATTTCTCTCTCGGCCAAGTCAGCTTTAACTTATCTCGCAGTTTCAATGGAAATGGGTTTGAAGCCCCGGGGCTTCAAACCTTTATTTTTTACATTTTGAATACATATCTTCTAAAATTAATTTATAAAATTCATTATTTAATTGAATTTAAATGACAGTAGTTCATTAAATAAAAAATTACATTCAATAAAAAATTACATTAATAAAATAAGATTTGAATAATAACAACATAAATAAAAAAATTAAAAATTTATCCACTTCTTCTCGTTGGCTTTGTGGCCACCATTGAGAGATCTTCTTTCATTGTCAGATGAAGATAATCCCATTTTTTGAATATTTTGTAGAGAGAATTAAAAGAAATAAAATATATTTTGGAGATATTATAGAGAGAATAAGAATATGTTGTGTTTTTAAAAAAAAAGTATTTATACTTGAAAAATTATTTTTTTTTTAAAAAGCCCAACGCCTATATTTTGGACCTTGGGGGGAGGGCGGCAACCGATTTCTTGCAACAACGCTGCGTCAAACCTTTAACGCAGGGCGTTTGACGCCCTGATGACGGTGGAGGGGGGCAGTGTTTAACGTCTCCCGTGCGTTAAATAAGGCTTAACGCCTGTGGCGTTGCACCCATTTCCGGTGCTCTGAGGCACCGGGAAGAAGCATAGAGTTGTTCTTGTTCTTGTTTTCGTGTATCTCACTCCCACATAGGTTGTCTGCTTACTATATTTTAGTATGTCTAGTAAATAGGTCATCTCTTGGAAACAACCTCTTTACATAGTAGGGGTACGGTCTGCATAGAGACACCATCCGCAAACCCTGCTTTTTTTGTAGGATTTTACTGGGTTTGTTAATGTTGTAGGTGTTAGGCCATACTTTGCTTCTCAGCGGGCACCTAACACGTTGCAAGAAAATATATTCACTTACCTAAAACTTGGAAATTTGGAAATCCAATAACCCAAGGTAAATGCTGCTGCGTGAAAAGCCAAGACAGGACCGACCAATTTTAACCCTTGGGTAGAGAGAATATGAGCTCGGTTAATGGCAAGTGGGCTGCCAATGCACAAAGATGTGCATGCCATTGCGACGAAGGGCATTACAGGTTGAATAACAGATACAACTGGTTTTGCATAGGTGTTCAAAACTAAGCCCAGGGTAACAGGTACAAGAACAACCTGAAAATGAAGAGCCAGTCTGAAATATAAGGGAAAATATAAAATGCTAACTTTGAGCTTTTTTATACCTTTGTTTATAGATTATTGTCAACCTTTCCGGTAGAATTTGTCACTACTTACCAAAATTATGACTACTTTATTGCTGAAATGTATGAAATTAAAGAAAATGACATTTCTGTCTATTTTGGATTTTATTTTCTTTAATTTATTTAAGATACATATTTCGTTTTTATTTTAAAAGTATTCGACATGTTCATCCATTTCAGAAGCACAATTTTGCCATTTTAGACCATTCGAAAACAGGCTCTTAACCACTCTTTTTTCATAATACCTGCAATATTGACTTTGACATGGCAACTGCATCAATGGGCACAACAGAACCAATGAGAAGGCCCGTCAGTAGTGGAGTGAGGAGAACTGATGCAATGGTAGTTGAGCTAGTCAAGAGTATACTGAAGGCGACATCACTTTTGCTCAAGAAGCTCGCATAGCTCGACAACTGAGCTCCAGCAACACAGGACATGAGAACGAATCCGGGATAGAACATGCTAGGGATCTGGAAAGCATTTGCCATCATCACACCAAGTAACGGTTTTGAAATATATTGAGCAATAAATCCAATGGATAATTGAACAGGTCTGCATCCAACATAGTAAAAAAAACTGATGAACAAACTCAACCTAAAATACATTAAGGGGAAGCTTGGATCCCAGATAATACAAGGGAATGGGAACAAATGAAAGGGAAAGGTACTTCGTTGGGTCTTGAGAAATGCAAATTGAAAATGAAATATGAATAAATCTTTAAGCATTTAACATATTATATTTATAAGCATCTTAATGTAATAGAAATGAATATAATAATACATGAAAATTTAATTTATTGAGTTTGAGCAAAGGCTTTTTGGAAACAACCTCTCTAGTCTCTACGTAGAGGTAAGGGCTATGTAGATCCCACCCTCCCCATGCCCAACTTGTGGGATTATACAGGGTTGTTGTTACTAGTTTGAACAAAGGTCAAATTTTCCCCACATTTTATTTGCTGCCAAACTTCCCTTATATTTTCTTCCAATAGCATTTTCAGAGTTCCAAACGGACCCCTAATCATCACAAGAAGAAAAAAATAAAAAAATTGGCAAGTTGCCACCTTTTAAATGCAAGAGCAAAATCATCAATGGAAAGTCCAATTCCTATCGACAACATGATTCCTCCAAGTGCAGGAGCATACAATTCCTTTGACACCCTGCAAGTTCTTATCATTTACACAAATCAGCAACTATTAGATTTGAAGCAATCACAATCAAACATCCAGCCAGATAGAGTTTGCAAGGGCACGAGGTAAGGAATTAATCTAAATGAACCCATAATCTACGCGCAACTAGTTTGGCACAGAACCACATACGAGTACAACAACAACAACCCAGTTTGATCCCACGAAAGTAGGGTCTGGGGAGGGTGTGTGTGCGTGGACCTTGCCCCTACCCAAAAGTAGAGAAGCTGTTTCTAAGAGACCCCCGGTTCAAGCGGAACAAAAAGAAGGATCACAACATATGCATTAAATAGGGAGAGCACAGATACAAGACTGATAAGGCACCCAACACCTAGAAAATAAACTAAAATTACGAAGCGAGAGTATTGGAAGCAAAAAGCACCAAGCATAAAAGGCATATCAAGCACACAACAACACCACTCCTATCACAAACCCAACTACTCTAATCCTATCCCTCCAAACGTTCTTATCTAAGGCCATATCCTCACTAAGGTTAAGAAGTCCTAAGTCATGTCTAAACAACTCTTTCCAACTCTTTCTAGGTCTACCCCTTCCCCTACTAGTGTAAACCTCTCGTATCTCCGCACAAGAGCATCGGCATTCCACCATCTCACATGACTGAACCACCTCAACCTAGCTTCCCGAAGCTTATCTTCCATTGGCGCCATGCCTAGCCGACTTCAAATAACATCATCCGGAATCCTATCCAGCCTTGTCTGCCCACACATCCAACGCAACATCTGCATCTCTACCGCAGGTAGACGAAGCACGTGAATCTTCTTAACCGCCCAACACTCCGCCCCATAGAACATAGTTGGTCTGACGACAAACCGGTAAAACGTACCTTTCATCTTGGGCGAAATCTTCTTGTCGCACAACACCCCTGAAGCAAACCTCCACTTAGCCTAAGCTACACCAACACGATGCACAACATCTCCGTCTAACTCCCCATCTGCCTGAATGACCGAGCCAAGATACCTAAACGTGTCAACTTTGGGCACTAGGTGAGAGTCAAATAAGTCAATCCTAACTTCCACCTTTGAAACCGTCTCCCAGCCACTGAAATGGCATTCCATGTATTCAGTCTTGGTCCTACTAAGTCTGAATCCATTGGTCTCAAAAGCACCAAAGTTCAATCTTATCCTTTAGTCCCTCATGGGTGTTGTCGATGAGCACAACAAGCATCCGCAAAAAGCATGTACTGCCGGACTTCGATTGGCACAGAACCACATATTGAACTGTAAACAAAAAAAACCCATTATATCTCAATAAAGAGTATGGCCTTGGACTCTTGGGGCAAGATTTACAGAGATCTATCTAACCTCTGTGCCGGAGAGAAGAGAGGCAGTTTTCAAAAGTGTCCCTAGAAACTGACATTAATGTTATGAGCCAGGGAAAACATCTACAGCAATGGCACCAAGCTCCAACAAAGACTCTACGTCCCTCCCCACATTTTTTTTTCTTTTGTTACCTTTTATGTTCATCTCACTGTTTTTGTATCATACAATATTTGGTCATGTTTACTTCATTCAAATCTATTCATACTTTTTCTAACTTTTCAACATCAATACCAACCACAAAATACTACTTTTTCTTAATTCTTGTGTCACCCCCATGTCCTAAAAATAGTGGGGTATGGAGGGAGTAAGTAAAAGGCACTGCCCCTAATGGATAACAGAATACCTTTACATGTCAAACTGATAAATACTCGGTAAAAAATACCAGATTGTCCTTTCAACAACATATTAGCACTTTCAAGTTCAGAGCAAACAAAAGAAAATACTAAGTAAAAAATACCAGGAAAAAGTGGAAGGCTGAGAGAGGGCGGCAACGGCAGTGAGTGCTACGACAAAGGGAAGCAATGCCGACAGAACTTGGGAAGTGTCTTCCTTGTTTTCCACTTCTACGGCTACAGTTCTGCAATGGTTTCCGAACAACAGGAGAGACAGATTCCCTTCTCTCCTGTGCAATCCAACTTTCCCAAACAAAGGCGACGAAGTCGAACACGCAACCACAATTGAACCGGAAGCGCCGCCTCCTTTAAGCTTTCCATTGATTGCGGGAATATGCGGCCGGAAAAGGTTTCTGTTCCGGTGATTGTGGGGAGGTAAAGGTTTAGGGTTCTTCCGGTAGGGTTTGAGGGGCAGGGAAAAGGATTTCGACGGAAGTGGAGACATTTTGAGGGCTTGAGACGCGATTGTCGCCATGATCGCCGAACCGCCGGAGGAAGATAAGGTTTCCCGGCGGGTAAAGTGAATGAGAGGAGAGGAGAGGAGAGGAGAAGCGGTTAAGAATTTAGAAAGGTGATGGCGGATTGACGGGTAAGAGCTGTTTATTGTCGGGTCAACTGGCCCAAACCCGAAAGTCCAACAACTATTTAAAACACTTTTTAACAAATCCAAGTTTAGTAAAAAATGTGGTCGAGGAATATAACTAGCGGCATAATTTCTCGTGAAAAAAATGCTTCATATGTTTGACTAGTATCACACCCGTGCGTCGCACGGGTCATTTTTATGTTATTAAATTCAGATTGTTTTTTAATGATAAAAAATAAGATGCAATAGAATATAGAGATTATATTATTTAAAAGTACAAAACATCAATGTTTTACAAATTTCAAAAGACTTCTTTATAGACTACATTATTTGTAGTCTTTGTGGGAGTATTGTCTTCATTGCATATCAGAATCTTCAATCCACTACGATTAGTTACTCTTGAAACTGCAACATAGAGCTATCCATGACTAAACACAGGTTTCCGTAACAGTAGTCCAACATGTTTCAGAGATTGTCCCTGGCTCTTGTTAATCGTCATTGCGTACGAAGTAACCACAGGGAATTGTCTTCTTTGAAACTTGAAAGGAATTCTTGTATCAGACGGTGTTAATGATAGTCTTGGAATAACAACTTCTTCACCCATGTGGCTTCCTGATAATATTTTTCCTTGTATTGAGTGATTAGCCAACCAGGTTACCATCAACCGTGTACCATTACACAAACCCATTGAATGGTCAATATTTCTCAACAACATAATAGGCATGCCTACCTTCAGAGTTAATTTGTGATTCGGTACACCTGAAGCACGAATCTTATTTAAGAATTCGGGAGAGTGTATGTTTCCAAAAAAACTTGAACTGCAATCCGAGTTCTCAACAACCCGGAATTTTCATAAACATTTTTTAGGGCGGTAATCATTCCCATGTTTGGCCAAAAACGAAGGTGGAGCACCGATTAATTAAAACTCTCTAAAACTCTCGTTTCCTGAACACTCGTTTAATTTTGGGAGAAAGACCAAACTAAGACTAAAACATTGAGAATACACCAAAATAGGACTTCCATGTTTTTATTCCCGAAATAGGACTTACATTACCAAACATGATCATATACATTACCAAATAAGTATAGTAATTTGCACATGTACACTGCCACATTACCACAATGCAAAGTCACATTACCACAGTGCAAAGTCCTATTCCGGAAAAACAAAAAACATGAAAGTCCTATTTTGATATTTTTCTCTATGTTTTGGTCCTATTTAGGATGATTTCTATTTAATTTTCTGGCACGGTAAGGTAGCGTATTTATACTATCCAAAATTTTCAAGAAGAATAAAAGTTTTTTATGGTAATGGTAATTATAATTACATACAATTATGGTTTATTACGGTAATCTATTATATTATGGTAACGCAAGGAAATTATGGTAATTACAATTAAAGTTTATGGTAACATATAATTCCTTTCTCCGGAATTTTAAGCAAATACAACTAAAGTTTATTATGATAATTACATCTTTAAATATATTTTCTGTTATACGTTCTCATTTTCTTTAGTTACCTTTTATTATTACCATTCGTATAAATGGTTTTATTTCATACGTCTTTAAATACAAAAATATATACAAAAATATAGGAGCTAAATTAAATAAAATTTCCATTCGTGCCTTTTTTATACACGTTTATATTAAATTACCATTACCATTCGTTACCATTTTAATTACACGGTTATATTAAATTACCATTTTTAGTTGAGCATTTGTTACCTTTTTTATACACGGTTTTCATACCTTTTTTTATACTTTTTTTATACACGGTTATGGTAACATACAATTCCTTTCTCCGAAATTTTAAGCAAATACAACCAAAGTTTACTATGGTAATGTACATGATAATGATTCGTTATGTAAATGCATTTTAACTTCTATTTTGAAAATAAAAACACGAAACTTCTATTTTGGTATATTTTCAATGATTTATTCTTATTTTAGTCATTTTCCTTTTAATGTTTAATTACTTCAATGCTCACATTATTTTTGGATAGTTATTGGTGTTATATTTTGTACTTTGACTTCAATATGACTTCAATAATTCACGTTAAATTTATTTAAGAATCAAAAGGTTTCCTTTTTTTAATATTATTTTTATGTTTCTTAATGTTTTAAAAGTATTTCCTTTTTTAAAGGTAGACACGTCTCACCAATCACTTCCCTTAATAAAAACCCTTTATTTAATGCACATGAATTCTAAAAAAATATGTAACAAATCTCGCAATTAAATTTCTTTCCATTACGAATATTTCCATAAATATTGTTAGACAAATTACTAATCGTTATTGTTAGACAAATTCCATAAAAATTTTCATCATTAATCGTTTCCCATATTTAAAACCCTTTATTTAGTGCACACATATTCTAAATGGTAACATATAATTCTTTCTCCGGAATTTTAAGCAAATACAACTAAAGTTTATTATGGTAATTACATCTTTAAATATCTTTTCTGTTATATGTTCTCACTTTCTTTAGTTACCTTTTATTATTACCATTCGTATAAATGGTTTTATTTCATATGTTTTTAAATACAAAAATATATACAAAAATATAGGAGCTAAATTAAATAAAATTTCCATTCGTACCTTTTTTTATACACGTTTATATTAAATAAAGTTTATTATGGTAATTACACGGTTATATTAAATTAACATTCGTTACGATTTTAATTACACGGTTATATTAAATTACCATTTTTAGTTGAGCATTCGTTACCTTTTTTATACACGGTTTTTATACCTTTTTCATACCTTTTTTATACACGATTATTTTAATGATCCATTAATTACCATTTAGTAATTACACAACATGAAATGAGCGGGAAAAGACCAATGCAAATTCATGGCTTTTTAAATAATAGATAGATTTTTACGGTCAAAACAGATTAATTATTCGGTATAATTTTGAATATTTTTTTTCTCTAAAAATTATGTTCTCGTTGCGTGATGATATTTGAATGATACGGAGTATTATTCTATGTGAAAAGATAATCTTGTATTTAGTTGAATCGGTCAATTAAATCATGTGTTGCAAAATTTAGCTATATAAACCATTGGTAAGGAATAATTAACGAAACTATATGATATACTCACTTTGTCCTAGTGTATTTTCTCAGTTTAACTTTTTTAAGTCATACAAAATGAACTTTAAACTTAAATTGATCAAAAATTAAAATGTATATTAGTATAAAAATAATTGTATTCAATTCATTCTATTGAAAACTTTTCGAGTTTTATTCTTTTGTATAAATATGCAATACAAATTGAAAATAATTGAAGATTAAAATTTGTCATATTTAACTCAAAAAAAAACTGAACAAATATATTAAGACGAATGTAGTATTATGCATGGTAAGAGTTATATATGATGTGCTATTTTTTTCTCTATGTACTTATTTGGACTTCTCAATTTGAGTAACCTCGTGGATCTATACATCTATACATTATTTAAAAAGACATGAATTTTTTCCCGTTCATGCATGACACTCATATATGGAAAATATATGGAAAGTGTTGACAACATAAATGGTAGTTTAATTATTATACCTTAACGTTTTCCTTCCATTTTAAGTGTGTTTTTATTTTTATTTTTATTTAAATGTTACACCATTTAAGCATTTAAATTAAATTAAATTAAATAGTAGTGAACCATTGGGGAATTGAAGTATGGAAATAAAATACACTGGCATTTAAATATTAAAATAAAATTTAAAAATTACAAATTAATATAGTATGGGCAGGATTAAAATGATTTATTTCAAACAAACCACAAATTAATTATTTATCATTAAAAAAATATTATAATTTACAAGCACAAACGCGTAAAAACGGTAAGTTTTCTAAAATAGATTAAAAAATAAATATGTACGGTAAGTAGATGATAACATTTAAATAAAAGAATAAAATAAAAAACTACAAATTAATATTAATACTATAATTTAAAAGAATGGAAACGTTTTAAAAATGACAAATGTTCTTATTAGAAAATTAGAAAATAAATAGATATGGTATGATAAGCAATTAGCACCATTTAAAACGAAAATAAAATAAATGGTAAGTTTTCTAAAATAAATTAGGTCAGTGTTCTAATATAAAAGAGAAAAGAAAATACTCCCTCAGTCCCCAATTTCAATACAAATTTCGGGTCACAGAGTAAAATTTCTTACTTTTTGAAATCATTTTATTTACAAATTGATATATCAATAAGATATAAAAATTACATATTAAACAACTACGTCAAAAGTTCTACAAAACAAGAAGTGATAAGAATATTTTATTTTATCAAATATTTAATGAAATCGCGTAAACAAACAAAAGTTATCGAGAGAAGAGAAAAAAATTGTAATCTATTTAGGGAGAGAGAGAGAGTACATCTAAAAATGATAAGTGTTTTAAAATAAATTAGAAAAAAATGTGGTTTGGTAAGTAATTAGTACGATTTAAATGCGAGAATAAATTAAAAAACTGCAAAATTAATATTAATACTATATTTTAAAAACATGATTTTTTAAAAAAAGGAAAGTGTTCAAATTAGAAAATTAGAAAATAAATACGAGATGGTATGTCACCACGATAAGCAAAAGGTACCATTTAAACACAAAATAAAATAAATGGTAAGTGTTCTAAAATAATTTAGGTAAGTGTTCTAAATAAATTAGAAAATAAAATAATTATTAAAATGATAAGGATTTTAAAATATATTAGAAAATAAATACGGTACGGTAAGTAAATGATACCATTAAAAAATAAAATAGAAAACTACAAAATAATACTATCAATTAATACTACAATTTACAAACATGGTAATGTGTAAAAATGGTAACTGTTATAAAATAAATTAAAAAATAAATACGGTACATTAAGCAAATGGTACCATTTAAATGCAAAAATTAAAAAATTATAAATTAATACTATTAATATTATAAGCATGGAAACATGTAACAATGGTATAAGTATTCTAAAATAAATACTATTAATACTATAATTTACAAGCATGGATACGTGTAAAAATGGTAAGTGATCTAAAATAAAATAGAAAATAAATACCTAGGGTAAGTTAATGGTACCACTTAAATACGAAAATAAAATTAAAAAATACAAATTCCAAAATAAATACATTAATATGTTGAATTATTACTTAAGTCAAATTATTAAATTATTATCAAGAACAATATCTGAAACATATTGAATTATTGTTACGGAAACTGATATTTAGTCATGAGAAAGTGTATGTTGCAGTTTAAAGAGTAATAAATCGCAATGGCTTGAAGATTCTGATATACAACGAAGTGAATGCTCACACAAATTATACATACGAGTGATGTAGTTTATAAAGAAGTCTTTCGAAATTTGTAAATCATTTTACTTTTGTACTTTAAAATAATGAAATATCTATATTCCATTATATAACAATTTATATTCCTAAAAATGATCTTAAGTTAGTACTGTAACTATGACCCATGCAACGCACGGGTGTGATACTAGTCTTTCTAACAAGTTCTCGTATATCAAAAAAGATGAAAATTCTCTACGAGTCTATTTGGTACATGAAATTAGAATTAAATTAAAATTAAAATTTTATAAATTGAATTCTCCAATTCCAATTCATTTTTAACATTCCTAATTACAAATCCATATATTTTTGTGCTAAACAAAAGAATTAGAATTACAATCATCAATTCAAATTCTGTGTACTAAATAAAACACAATTGAAGTTTACATTTCATCTCAGAAACATGTGATCCAACTGGACAGTTGTCTTCCCCATGTGCTCTCTCCATATAATGATAAATTTGTGTCTCATTTCAAACAAACAAAAACAAAAGCAAGTGGTACTAATACCATACCCATGAAAGGCAGAGGATGTTGAATTGTTGATGATGTTGAAAGTCTCTGACCACAAACAAAAATCCACCACAGCTTTCAAGACCAAAACAAAAATGGAACCCCATCATTAAGGTTCCAAATAGATTTGATGGATTATGATCTCATTAAAATAAATTCTGATAATCTAATATGGTGTGATTTGAATAGATTCGAATAAGAAAAAAAAATAATCGTGGTTCACACTAATTTTCTCGTCCGCATCAATCTCAACCACAGAGTTCCATCTCTTTTAAAAATCATGCGTTTTATTTTCACAATTTTCTCTCCAACCTTATACACACAACAATCAAGGCATATTCCAATTTACAAAGCTAAAAAAACACATGAGTGGAAGAAAATGGTGGTTGCATGCACTAGAGAGCTTCAACCAAATGGTCTAAATTTGCAATGCTACAAGTTGATTTTATTTCAACACAAAAGAATGAATGAACAAACCTTTATCTGCAAATCGAAATTTCCCAACAACGAAAAAAACGAATAAAAACAAACCTTTTCTGCACAATGAAATTTACCAACCGATCCCTTCGCGCGCGTGTTGTTCTATGGATGTATCTTTACATGATTCTCCCCTGCCTCCTTGCAATGATACAACACATTCATCCCCCATAGCCATCTTGAAGACTTGAACTGGCATATGGTTTCTTCTCAACTCTGCAGACTATGGACTATACACAAGACCAGAAAACAAATGCAGCGCGCCGACCTGCTATGGTTTGAATTTCTTGAACACAAGTGAAGAAGAAACAGTGCAAAATTGGAACTATCAAGATACAGCAATGCCACTATCAGTGTGTTCAAGCTTGTACTGGAGCTCGCCGTTTATGTTCTGATCGTGACAAAAACAAAACATAATGATTTTAAGGACAAGCACATTGCCAACAACAATAAACACAGTGATCCAAAACAGTCCTTATAAACTCAAATTGTATTTATAAAAAAGGTCGATTCTTGATATACTCACCATGAAAATAGAAAATAGATATTGTCCCATTTTTAAGGCCTTGTTTGGTTCATGATTATCCATAGTTTATAGCAAAAGGATACCCATGTTTGTTTCCATTTCTGTATTATGGCTCTCTATGGTAATCCTTGGTTATGGCTTTTCAAAAGATTTTGAAACCACCAATACTATTTGATGGTTTTCATTGGTTTATGCAAGTCAATTCCTATTATACCCCTACAAATTCCTATTGTGCCACATACTCATAGAACAAGCACTAACATTGTATGCCAATTCCCATTATAACCTACCAAAACAAACAATAACATTGTATGCTTCCAAATATGGTAGCCTTAAAATGTCAATGCCACACTATACTATGCCAATATGCCATCTCATTTATTCTGCAACAATGCTGCACCTTATCCAAGCAAGCCTTATTTTACTGTATTTACTGCCCAGAAATGAGAAACCCATTTCTTTATCTCCTTTCAATTGATGGGTAAAAGTGCAATACAAGAAATAGGAAGAATATGAGGGATCTGAGAAAAAAGAAAAGACCTTTGCGGGAGTTTCCTCATCAAGATCAGCAACCTGAACCGCAACACAGTCTCTGGGAGTCTCAAAGGAAGACAGAGAGAACTTCTTGGAAACCACGCCAACATCGAAGTAAATCAACCCGGAGCTGGGCAACCCGACCCGGATTTCCTTAACAGGGAACCACAAGAACAAATCCTGCGCGGAAATCCCGGACAGCCCGCCGATCAACCCGAAGGTGAGATTCCCGGAGACATTCCTGTCGTAGTGAATTTCGTTTTCGAATTTGGCATTGCAAGCCTGGTCCAAGTAGACTTGGAATTTGCCGGAGCTCTCGAGGGTGAAATTCTTCACCCCCTTGGGGAACAGGCCCACGGGCAGCCCGTTGGCTTTCAGGGCTTCGTATATGGACGATTGGCATGCTGCTCGACCCGACAAACAGCAGAAGATGAGAACAGGGAGGAATAGTTCCAGTTTCTTGGAAAGGTGGGTTTTTGATGTAAAGATCATGGCTTTCGAGCCTGGTTCTTGATACGGTTTGGGTATTGAGAGAGAGAGAGAGAGAGAGAGATTAGGGTTAAATAAGAAGAAGATTTGAGAGAGGGAATGGCCAGCGAGAATACAGATTGGATGAGCTAGTGAATTCCTTCATTGGCATTTGGCAATGATTCTGCGATAATCTCATTTTGATTTTTTTTTTAATTATTTTAATTCATATTGAAAATGTTAAAATTAAATATTGTGTTCATTAATATCAAAAATGTTTGCAAAAAATTGAATGTTATTGATTTCATTACAATGTAGTTTCTCATTCATATTTTAGGGGAAACTTTCTACCACTCATTTTAAGGGAGAAGTTTCAAAAGTGATCAAATTAAATATTACTCCGTATCATTAGATAATTTTTTTAAACATTAAAACTAAATGCTTTAATGATTTTAATTTAGACCTTATATCGGGACAACATTTTCGATTAGTGTTACCATTTTGGATAAAATATAAATAGTGTAGATTAAATCTAAAAACGTCAACGCTAAAAGTTATTATTAGATTACCTTTTTAAAACGCTAACGCAAACCTCTAACACTGAAGCTAGATGATGCCTTAATATTTTCTGAGGATTAATTGTGAGATGAAAGATTCTAAAGACGGAAAAATGACTAAAGTAAGAGTAAAGATAAAAAAAAAAACTCAAAGAAGAGTTGCATATTTTTATTCCCAGAAAAATAAATTAAAATGCATATACAGTACCAATCACGACTATAATTTCTTTTTTCAAAACCTATTCAACAAATATAATTTGATTATAGAATATTAACTTAAAAATTTTCTATTTTTTGTTTTGAAAACATATTCACAATTTATCTAATTAAAATATAAAAAACACTTTTGTTTTTTCAGTTTTACCGTATTTCAATTTTTTGGTTTTGAAACAATGTGGAAATGAGCTAAGGTCTAGTTAGAACACATTTAAGTTATTTTTTATTAGTTGCAAACTCAGACTTTGATATATATATATATATATATATATATATATATATATATATATATATATATATATATATATATGAGCTTATTTTGCGGTCTATAGTAAATGAGTAATTTCTAAATACAATGACACCAATTATTAAATTTCAAAATATTAAATAGCCAAAAAATTCGGAATATTAATATAAAATCACATATTTCTTGGAATATTAATGCAACTTTTCCTATATTTGTTCTTAGACATACCCATTCCGATGTGTTTTTGCTTCATATATTTATTTTCAATTATTCATCATTACTTTTAAAAACTGAATTTTTTTTAAAAAATTACTATTTCGATTTTCAAGAGAACTAATTCCATTGGTTTTGTTAAAGACTAACTTCATGTACTCCTAATCTTAGGACTAGCTTGTCATACAAGTATGTACCCACAAAGTATAGTTTTTTTTTTTTTTAAAAGTATCCTAAGTTGAGTAAGAACAGAAATTATTGAAAGAATGAACACTTATAAATAGTTAGGTTAAACCCCTTGCCTCATTACACTATTATCTCCAAACAATAATAATCTATTCATCTAGAATATTAAACACTGCAATTATGGCTATACTCACTCACTTCATCAACAACAATTTGAGCTTCAAGAATTATTATAGTGATGTTGTCGATTACGAAGTCGTCGATCCTTACAACCTTACCATGGCCGAGTGTTTGGGCGGTCTGTACTTTGAAGTGTCGCGCGTTGGCAAAGAAGACGATCGCAATGAAGACCTAACCACGGGGGAGAAACAAAAGAGTAGAAAGAAGGTTATTATGCTTGATCATCACAAAAGTGACACCAAAAGTACCCGAGGAAGATGCGGTGACGACGATGACGATGACGAGGACGATAGCAAGTTTTGGGTTGAATCAAGATTCGCAAGAATGTTAGGGAAAAAAGTAGAATAAGGGCGGCGAGAAAGACGAGGAAGCATCACTAAGTTCTTTGGAAAATAAGATCGTCCCTAAGTACTTTGTTTTCGTTTGATTATTAAATTTAGATTTTGTTACCCAGATGTATATATTAGTCTTGATTTTGTTATTTTTGCATCATTAATTTGAAAGAAATTGTATTTTCAATTTGAATTGAGAGTTTATTAATAAGATACATATCTGGTTTTTTTTGTTTTTAAATTATAACTTTTTGTAAAACTTTATTATGAGATGCCAAAATAAAAGGATATGGCAAATTGAAGACATGGAGAATTTACTTAAATTGCACTAAAACATAATGACTTTCTCTAAATAGCACCACATGTGTTTTTTTCATAATGTAGCAATTTCAGTCATTATGCATTAATCATTATTCGAGTAAATATTCGTCATCACTGAACATTATGAACATTACTAAGTGATATTTAAAAAATAAAATAATTTAAATGCTATTTAAAGAAATGATTTAAATTTTAATGCTATTTAATGCAAATATTTATTGTAATGAGTACCAAAAAAGGTACTATGAAAAGTCAAAACAGGATGGACTAGGCAACCATTTTCTTTTTCCCGTTCCTTGTTCCCGCGGCACCTTCCCATTCCCGTTTCCCCAACCAAACCATCCAGCCGAAGCACAGTGATGGCAAACAGCCAAAACTAGCCGTCACTACGTCAGCTCGATTCTGCTGAAGATGAAATCTGGGTCCCGCTTGAATCCAGCAAGCCGGAAACCCAGAAGGCCAGCCTGTCCTGCAACGGCAACCTCACTACACGCTTAACCACGGCGCACTTCAGAAAAGAAAAGAAAAGAAAAAGAAAAAGCAAACTCAGTGGAGATTCATCGATCCTCTTTATCTCCGTCTTCACAAAACTCAAGCGTTGTTTTCAGGGATAAAAAATCTCGTGGAGCTGAGAAGAGCCTAATCTTGCACACCACCTGTTTGTTTTTTGGCCAATGTTAGATTCATCATTTCCCTACTCTTGTTACCGTCCCTTCTCTTTGGTTCTGTGCTTAGCAACTCTGGGTTTAGCTGGAGACCCTTATGTGTTTTACGACTTGACTGTCTCCTACCTCACTGTTTCCCCTCTAGGTGTTACCCAAAAGGTTCTTCCTCCCCTTCTTTCTGCGATTCTTGTTTTCATTTCAGTTCAGTTTAGTATTCAGATCTTGAATTTAACTTCTGTTGGCTAGGTTTTGCTTATTAGGAGAATGATACTTCAAGTATATTTAATTCATACAATATTGCTTAAGATTTCTTCTTCATACTCATTCACAGGGAGTAATAGTTATGTGATTCGGTGTTCTTGCTTAGCGGGGATGAGTAGGACTGTATGAGATTAGGAGGGATGAGAATGTGGCTAGTCATTGTGGGTGCCCGACAATTCAAACCATCAGGAGACGAATTTAGGCGGGTAGCAATTCAGTCTGGGTAGGGTGAGAAAAACTTGTACTAGGTTTAGGTTGGATTCAGGTTGTAATATAATACCTGAACCCAGGCTTTGGCTGCTGCCACCCCCAAATTAATGTCTGCCTGGCACATCCCTCTTCATCATCTATTACAATCTATATCCTCTCAAGCATTACTCATATGTTATCTGTCATTTGATGACATTTGATTGAAATCTTTGAGGTGCAAGTTTATAAAGTTTGAATCTTTTTAGGTTATTGGAGTAAATGGGCAGTTCCCTGGACCCATTCTAAATCTCACTACCAACTGGAATGTCGTTGCAAACATAAAAAACTATCTTGATGAGCCTTTGCTTATCACATGGTATAACAACCTGATTCATTTCTAAATTGGTTGATATAATATTAATCACATGATGTGGATATTCAAATGACACATAATTATTTTTAGTTAAATGCATATAGGAATGGTGTACAATTGAGGAAGAATTCTTGGCAAGATGGTGTCTCTGGGACAAATTGTCCAATACCTGCTGGATGGAACTGGACTTATCAGTTCCAAGTCAAGGACCAGATTGGGAGTTTCTTCTATTTCCTTTCAATGAACTTTCAAAGAGCAGCAGGTGGTTATGGAGGAATCACTATAAACAATAGAGATGTTATCCCTTTACCATTTGGGTTGCCAGATGGAGATGTCACCTTATTTATCAGTGACTGGTACATTAAAAGTCATAAGGTTTGTTTGTATGCCCTATGTTTTAGGATTTACCAGCTGTCTCTCCTTATGCATTTGGACCTTCCTACTTCGTGTCTCTTAAAATATATGAATGAATTTTGTATAATAGGAAATGAGAGTAGATCTTGAAAAAGGCACTGGACTTGGAGCACCTGATGGTGTGCTGTTTAATGGGTTGGGCCCATACCGATACGATAATGGGCTTGTGCCTGATGGCATTCATTATCTTATGGTCAATGTTGAAGCAGGCAAGTTCATCATCTGCGTTGCTATAAGCCTTTCATAATTCATAAATACAAAGTATGTTTTTGACCCTTATATATAAGGTCACCTCTCGACCTTTTTTAACTGGTGGAATCTAATGGGAATATGGGATGTTTGGTTGGAACTTATAAACAATGAATAAAGAGAATTGTAGGGAATACTTAAATTCCGTGTGGAGAAGAATATAAGTGGAATAAAGAATGACTTCAAATTCGGTAGTTTGATTGTTTAAAAGAAATGCTTATTCCACCATTAGGTAAATTGTGAAAATTAATTGTTCAATATTTTTATGGGAGGCGTTACAGGCAAAACATACCGCTTGCGTGTGCATAATGTTGGGATATCTACCAGCCTGAATTTCAGAATACAAAACCACAATTTACTTCTTGTTGAGACTGAGGGGTCATACACTGTGCAACAGAGCTATAAAAGCATGGATATCCATGTAGGTCAATCATACTCATTCCTAGTGACTATGGATCAAAACCCCACTAGAGACTTTTACATTGTTGCCACTCCGCGCTTTGTAAATTCGCCTGATAGGTCAAAGCCCGTGGGAGTCGCTATATTGCACTACTTGAATTCTCTTGGGCCCGCTGCGGGCCCACTCCCTGACCTGCCCGAAGAAAATGACGTGAATTTCTCGATGATGCAAGCAAGGTCAGTGAGATGGAATGTATCGTCCAGCGCAGCCCGGCCCAATCCGCAAGGCTCTTTCAAATATGGGGAGATCACAGTTACAGATGTTTATGTTATTGTAAATGGGCCTGCAGAGATCATAGAAGGGAAATGGCACGCTACACTTAACGGAATTTCATATTTTACCCCTTCAACACCTTTGAAGCTTGCAGAGGAATTCAACGTCCCAGGGGTTTTCAAGCTCGATTTTCCAAACAAAGTGATGGGTCGACCCTCTAAGATCGATACATCTGTTATCAATGCCACTTATAAAGCCTTTGTGGAAATAGTATTCCAAAACAATGGCACAACAGTTCAAAGCTACCATCTTGATGGTTATGACTTTTTTGTTGTTGGGTAAGTTTTGACATGAATGTGCCATTTTAGGCTCTGTTTATTTTCAAGAAGGAAAAAAAACTAGTGGAGTTATCCCCCCCCCAAAATGCTTTTCCATGCACAAACGAAGCTTTAACAGTTAAGTCGTGTGTCTTGTTTGGTTTGCAGGATGGATTATGGTTTGTGGAACCAGAACAGCAGAAGCACTTACAACATGTGGGATGGAGTGGCTAGATGCACTACCCAGGTTATCATAATTCTATATGCTTGAGTAGCATAAAACATTTCCTCAGCCCTAAACCATAAGCTTAAGTTCTTGATTGAGTTGGTTTCTTGACATGATATCAGAGCCACAATTTTTTTCAAAAAAACATGGTCCCAAGCAAAAAACAAATCTCGTTTGCATGTGACAGGGCACATGATTTATATATGGAAGATATTTCTCAAGTCTTTTTCTTTTTTTGCTGAACATACATTATATACAGGTTTTTCCCGGAGCTTGGACTGCTATACTGGTTTTTCTTGACAATCCCGGCATCTGGAATCTGCGTTCTGAGAATCTTGATTCCTGGTACCTTGGCCAAGAAGTCTATATCAGTGTTGTCAATCCAGAGAACGCCGACAAAACTGAGCTTCCCTTGCCAGACAATACAATATATTGTGGTGCACTCTCCTCTCTGCAGAAGTAAGACTTACCTTCCCCTCTTATTCTTTCTACTACATTGCGACATTTGTAAAGTCATCCCACATCGACCAAATATGAAAAAACACAAACAAAGCATTTTACTCTTTAGGATTGAATCTCGTGTCTTATTATGCACGCTTTCCCCCCATTTTCGTGTGTGCAGAGACCAAGCGCGACGAGTTAACTTCTCAAAGGGCTGCAGCATTCTCCCAAACAAGGGGTTCCTGATTTTGTTTGGTGCATTGTTGTATCTTTTGAGACAGTGAGTGGGAAAGCTTTTCCAGATTTATAATTGTCAAGCACTATAGGCAATAGGATGAGTTAATGCAAGAGAAATGTAAAGATTATTGCTGGGTTTGGATTAAGGTGAATCTAGGTGAGCTTGTGTAAATATGGTTTGAACCATTTGGTACTATTGATCTTATATAGATGAGGTGATAGAATTACTTTGTCAAAAAATTAGCCAACCTCATATATTACTTGGTCTAAATATCCCCACATGCCACAACTTGTTTAATGTCTTAAAATGCACTTAATTCTACTTTTTTTTCTCGAAAAGTTGAACCCTCGTCCTCAAGATCCTCTGGACAATAGAATGTCTCTGGCACGTGCAAAAACTTAAACATAGACATTTTTTCACTATTGTAAAGGCATTCCCAATGCAAGAAGTTTTGAGACTTTCTCTGATTCTGTCACATCGGTATTTTATTATTTTAGATTCTCCTCCATACTCTCAAAAAAAACCTATCTCAACTCTCAGACTCACAAACTTTGACAAATCAGTGTTCCGCTATCTCTTATCTCAACAATTGTATTTATATATTAAATTAGTTGTATACGAAGTACTCCCTCCGTCTCAGAGTATTTGTCCACTTTCATTTTTACACACCATCCAATACACTTCTTTAATCCATTTTATCTTGTAATTTGTATATTAAAAAATTATAGAAATTATATATTAATAATCTACTCCTGACTATATGTTAAGACAAATCAAACAAGATCACACATGACTATATTTAGGCTTACACATTGAGAGAATTTGATGAGTCAAAGTGCTTAGATGAATAGTTCCAAAAGTCAAAAGTGGACGAATATAACAGGACGGAGGGAGTAACATATAATTGTACTACATATTGATTTTCTATCAAATTTATTTATAAACATAATTAACCATTCAAAAATTTCAACAGCACAAAAATTTACGAAGTATTTATTAAAATTAGAAATAATCATATAAAGTTAACACAAAAATTACATAAAGCAAATGTGTACATTTCATTAAATTACATAAGTGACATAACCTGTATTGTGTAAAATAAAAATAAAAAACACAACAAATATTATTGTCATTTATATTTTTTGTTTTTTACTCTATACCATTTTTTTTTACAATTTCAATTTTTTTAATTATGATTTTTTGTTTTTATTACAAAAAAAATTATAACTAATTTTTTATAGAAAATAAATGTTATTTGACTACACCTGTCTGGTTTACATTAGATAGATTGAGTTGAAAGTCTTGGAAGTACGTGGGTTTGGGATTTCGAAGGCTCTGATCCCTTTCCGTCATTCCTCACTTTTTGTCTCTTCCAATCGTAAAGTCTGGAAAAGAGTCTTTAGAAACTCTTTCAGGCCTCTTAAACCCTAACTTGGAGATGCTGTTAAGAGTTGATCGTTATTTTATCTTATTTGACACTCACTTTTCAACTACCTGAACTAATCCGAAGAATTTTTTTTCTTTTATGTGCAAAGAAACTTGCCGCCAAACAGAACTTTGTTGAGCATGGGACAACCAAAATGTGTATATTATTTTATGTTAGGAGAAATTTACCCAAAACAAAAATCCACGACTATTTTGTACGCTAAGCAAAGACCATTTAGTAACTCCTCTTGTTCTTGCGGTCTTGCCTTAGAAGCCACGAGAAATTACCCCTAATTAGTAGTAATAGTGTAATTAATTACGGAGTATATTGGAGACTTGTTTTAAAAAAAAAATTATATTGGAGACTACCTTTTTTGTGTACTCCAAATGCACATAAGTGATTTAAAAAAATCTTCATGTTTACTCCAAGATTAATTGTAGTTAGTATAATTAACGTTAGCTTCAAAATGTTCACGTTCAGCAGAAATTAATCAAATTTTTTTCACAAGTCACCGAACTATTTCTTCCACCAACTCGTACGTAACTCTTAATTTTTTTTACAATCCGTTCCACAAGACTACCCCGAAGGGATTGTTCCAAAAGTAGTTAGTGTTTCACCAACAAGTGATTTCAATTTACCATCCTCTCCCTCTAGCAGATACCATAGTGTGTGTATATATATAGACCGGAAATATTTCTATCTCTACTCTCACAAATCCAAAAGATATTCGAGTATAATATACTACTAATACAATCAATCTTAAACATGGTAAAAAACAATTTATTTCTAGTCCTAAGTATTGTCGGCTACGTCTTTCTTACGTTGTTTTCATTCACAAAGACAGCACCGGATGGGGCATTGGTCACTCACATTCCTGGCTTCAATGGCACTATCCCTTCAAACCATTATGCTGGGTATGTATTGTTTTTTTTTGCATGATTTTACTGAAGTGTCTTATATTATCGAAACAATGTTCGGCTTCAATTTCTGTGTTTGTTATTTGTCTCGAAGTTTTTTTGAATTGGCTTTACCCAAATTGTCCGTATGAGATACTCTATATTGGCATTTTACAATTGGCAAATTATTACATGCATATATGCTAAATAATTATTTTCAAGTGTTAAAATAAGTATTTTTAGAATTTAAAAAATACATGTGAGAAGGTCTATGTGCACCTTAGGTCCACCATAAAATCACTTCTTTTTGGTACTATATGTTGAAATGATTGTCAATATAGATGAATTTTAACTCATATTTTGGGAATAAAAACATAGAACTTCTATTTTGATATATTTTCTATACTTTACTAATACTTTTAGTCTTTTTTTCTATTGTTTTTTTGGGTTCAATTTTTTCCAACCTTTTCCAGTTTTTTTCTAGTAGTTTGATTTTTTTACATATTTAATTATTTATTTAAGTGATCCTTTATTACATGACTTTTTAAATACTTATTTTTTTCAATTTTTTCCCGTTCTTTAGAATATATTCTAACTTCTCAAACTTCAAAATTTCAACCGAAGGCCTTTATTATGATTGTTGTGTTTGGGTTGGGGACAATGATGGCTATGTGTTTGTGTTTTTGCTTGAATGGGTGAAATTTCAGTTATGTGACCATAGACGAAACCACTGGGAAGAAATTGTTTTACTACTTTGTTGAGTCGCAAAGAAGGCCATCAGAGGATCCGTTGGTTCTGTGGCTCAACGGCGGCCCCGGCTGCTCCAGCTTCGATGGCTTCGTCTACGAGCATGGTATATTTTCTTACCTCTTCGCCTTCTTCTCTTCTTCATTTTTCATTGGTATCATCAATTTGTAATCTTGGAGTTTTGATGGAAAAATATCTCAATTCTTGGAGCACCCATTATGTAATCTTGAAGTATTCATATACAATTTCAAATTTCTTGGAGTGGTGGCATGGGTTTTTCCTTACAAAAACATGGCCAAGGAGGCAAGAGAGTGGTTTGTTTTTCTTAGATTGGACAAAAAAGGAAAGGAAAGTGGAATTTGATTCAACTATTTTTGTTAAAATGTTGCATATTTTTTGAACAAATTTGTTGGAGTGTGACATAGATTGCATAGTAGTTACAAATAGTTCAAAAATGGCTGATTGGCAAAGAAAGAAGAGATGTCATTCTCCTTCTTCTTTATCACATTTTCAGGGCCTTTCAATTTTGAGCTTGGGAAGACAGGTGATAGCCTTCCCATTTTGCATATCAACCCTTATAGCTGGTCCAAGGTAATACTACCTATATCCGTAACTGTAAATACTCTGAAATATATAGTTCGAACCCTTTATCCTTTGATGAGATTCTCCTAATCTTTTCAGGTTACAAATATTATATATTTGGATTCTCCTTCTGGTGTTGGATTGTCCTATTCAGGGAATGAAACTGATTACATAACCGGGGACCTAAAGACTGCTTCTGATTCTCACACCTTTCTTCTCAAGGTATATCATTGATATAGCTTGGCCCATCATGTACGGGTTATTTGACTTAGGCGGAGTGATAGAATTTATGATTAAGACACTTGGATCAAACCAAATTAAAAGATTGAATTCTATCTAGTTCAACTGAAAACCTTATTAACCCATTGTTCTTTCTCTCGATACGGGATACTTTTACACGGAGCTAGGCAGGTTATCTTGGAGTAGTTTAAAATTTCTCAAACTATGTTATTTTAGTATTGCTTCTGGCTTGACTTTCCTTGTTTGGTTATTTCTGAGAGAAGTGGTTTGAGCTATACAAGGAATTCCTTCCCAATCCATTTTATATAGCTGGAGAATCTTATGCTGGAGTATATGTACCAACTCTGGCTTCTGAAGTAGTAAAAGGTGAGTTTTTTTATATATCATTATATAGAAAGTGTTACAGACTGCAATAAAGAAAGGTGTCGAATTGTGAGATTTCAACTCAAAACCAATTGGCAATAAGAGGAGTAACTCATGTTCTTATAAATTAAGTCCTTAATAGTGTGTGTTTGATGAATTGAATGTAGGATTATAAACCAATCTTTTTGGTTCTTTTTTCTTTGCAGGTATTGATGCTCGCCTAAGTCCGATTTTAAACTTTAAGGTGATTCTTATTTATTTATTTATTTATTTTGCTTCACCCTTCAAGTTATGGTTTCATAGACTAAACTTAAATTTGTTATATGCAGGGTTACATGGTGGGAAATGGAGTGGCGGATGAGGAGTTTGACGGTAACGCCCTTCTGCCATTTGCGCACGGGATGGGCCTAATCTCAGATGCATTATATGAGGCATGATTTATTCTTTTTCTTCTTCTTTACTTCATTCTCTCCATTTCAATGCCGTTGAATATGTTTTTGCTATTATTATTATTATAATTATTATAGTAATTATTAGAGTTATTACTATCGTCTCACTTTACCTACTAAATTTATCATTAGTTCTTAGCATTGTATTATTATCTCCTGCTTTATCATTTGTTTTTTTTCAGCATCATTTTGACGAGAAGTTAGCTTTCATAAGTAAAACTCACATGCATTAGAACTCAAGTTATATTTGTGCTTAGTTTACTGCAAACAATTCGCTTATAGTTCAATCATTATGAGCAGGAAGTTGTAGCTGAATGCCAGGGAGTCTATTATGAATCGAACCGTAGCACTTGTGCGACCAAGCTAGCAGAAGTTGACACGGTATGTCTTTTCATTCTTGCTATATCCATTGATGAGTAAATTCCACAAATGGTCGTCTATAATTAAGTATGTTCCCCTTTTAGTTCTCTACTTTATGAAATTCCATTGGAGTAGGACCTGAAATCAGTATCTGGCATGTATAGAACATTGCAGATTTAAACATGTATGACATTCTAGAGCCATGCTACCATTCCAAAGGACCTAGCAGCAGGATCATGACTTTAGATTCAAAGCTACCATTGAGCTTCCGCAAGCTTGGAGAGACTGATAAGCCTCTTCCAGTGAGAAAAAGAATGTTTGGGCGCGCGTGGCCCCTCAGAGCTCCTGTGAGAGATGGAATTGTCCCAACTTGGCCTCAGCTTCTCCGAAGTGAGAGTGTCCCGTGTGTGGTAAGTCAGTGCCCCATGCAAATTTTACTTCATTCCAAGTACTTATAAGGCCAGGGTGTGCGCAATTCCTGACACCAATTGGTTTTTGAAAAATTGGTAGCGCCAACAGAGTCATTATTAAAAATGGTTTAGCTCTAGGTAAAAACTGAAATGATAACTAAAAAAAATGACACACTAAACTTCATTTTCCTCTTAGTTTTGGATAGTAAACACAGTATTGCATCACAACTCTAAGGGAAAAAACCTCTTTTGTTTAAGGGTATTTAACTCTTCTCCGCATAAACCTCAAGTCCTCAACCTTCCTATGTTACCTTTTCTTAAACTCCATGAAAAAAGCATACCGGAACTTGATTTTGGGATGGAGGGAGTATGTTATCTTTCTAAATCATCGATGTTTTAGCATTCTATGCATGATTTGATGCCACGATTAATTAGAAAGTGCTTGTGGTTCATTGATTTCCCTTCATGTGGCAAATCCATTTCAATACATCTAAAGTTCTCAAATGCAGGATGATAGAGCCGCCACTTCATGGCTGAACAATGCAGAAGTAAGGAAAGCAATTCATGCAGAACAAGTAAGATGGATACAATACCCATCTATGTATCATCTTTTTAGATCAGTTGCTGACCATTCTTTGGCTCAACAGGAAAATGTCACTGGCACGTTTGACATATGTACGGATAAGATTACTTTTTTTCATGACGCTGGAAGCATGATCCCGTTTCATAAAAATCTAACTTCTCGGGGTTATCGGGCACTTGTATACAGGTAAAGTCCATTTTTCGTTACTGGTTTTCTTTTCTTTTCTTTTTTTTACGAACTTGACATTTGTGATGTAAAAAACAAAGGAGTCCTAAAGGGTGCCCCAAAAAATTGAAAAGCACCAAGGGTTAGGTCGACAATAGAATATAAACCGACATATAAGACCTTCGACTACTCATGTTGACCTTCTAGGAAGAAACTATGAAGGAACCAACTCGATCAAAAGCTCAAGCTTGTGGTTGTGGGTCCAGGAAATGTTTCATATCCTAACAGAATTCCATAGTCATGGTATGGGCCTTATCGCGTTTTTGATTGATTGGTTGATCCCTAGCGCCAATATTACTTGCAGTGGTGATCATGATATGTGTGTACCATTTACTGGGAGTGAGGCATGGACAAGGTCGATTGGATATAAGACCGTTGATGATTGGAGGCCATGGATTGTGAATGAGCAAGTTGCAGGGTATGTGCTTCATTCCAATCCCTATTTGCTTGATTATAGTGTTTTTTTTAGCCATGCTACAAACCCACCAAGGTTGACACCACTAAAGTCTCACAGACAATGACTGTTTGTGCTTGTATGATGGATGGTGTCAACCTTGGTGTCACAGACAATGACTGTTTAGCCAAGTTTCTTCTTTTCTGATTGAGGTTTCATCATCATCATCATCATCTTCGTCTTCTGTAATCTTGTAATTTGTTACTATGTATTCTGCAGGTATGTGCAGGGTTATGACCATAACCTCACCTTTCTCACCGTTAAGGTAATATATGGTGCACATCAACTGCAGCTAAAAACATTTAGGGTTCGTTTGGAAGCGTTGCATGTTTTATGTTTTCTGTTTACAAGAATTTTAATTTTGCCTTCAAATTCCTAAAACATAAAACATGTTTTGTAACGTGTTATTTTGATTTAGTCCATTATTACATGGGGAGCTAAAACATCGCCAACCGTGACTCTTTTACCTCCATTGTTGACTCCTTAAAGAAAAGAAAATAACATAGCAAAGCGAAACGAGCCCGTGTTTTTTTAATGGATCATGCTAGAAACACACCACGATTGCCCCGACGGATAACAATCACAAGTGATTTTATACAAACAATCGTCTACGTATGCATGAATCATCCGTGATTTGTCATCCGCGGGGGCACTCACTGGTGGGTTCCTAGCATTTTTGTTTTTTAATATGTCCATTTTGTTTAACTACCTTACAGGGAGCAGGACACACTGTCCCAGAGTACAAACCACAAGAAGCCTTAGCATTTTATACCCGTTGGCTGGAGGGCAACACCATTTGAAGCATCAAATACCACTAATACTACACAAATAAGAAATCTTTCATCCTCTATTCTTATTTTTAAGGGGACTCCCACAATATATAGTTGTACACTTTTTTGTTTTATTTTTGTATTTCTGCTAATTTTAAATATAATCATGCAGTGAAACAATCATAGAGTCATATAGAACCTTCGCAAATCCATGGAAGAAATTCGTCAAGTTTTGTTTGTCAAATGTATTGGAAGATGTCAAATTTTAAGTTTTTTTTTTTTTTTTTGTGGGTCAATACTCAATAGTTATGCACTTGTTCTCCTCCATTCACCTTCTTTCTTTATTCGTCTGAAATTAATTGTCTGTATAATTTTTGTTTAGGAAATAAATTGTTGTGGATTAAAAAAATACCTTAGAAATAAGGTATTATCAAGATTTCACCGAAGGACAAGTTAAGCGATTAAATACACCAGGTTGAAAATATATATTTTTTAAAAAGTATTAGAAAAAGAAAATGACTTGATAAATAAAGAGATTACAAAGTACTTGGTAAATGTTCTAATAATTTTAGTGTGGAAAATGGGGAAAAACTTCTTCCTCTTCTCTTCCTCCCAAATTTCACAAACCAAAAATAGGGTAAGTAATATCCCAACATATTAATATTAACCAATCTACTACCATACTCCCTTCGTACAGAATTAAATTTTTTGTTCTCTTTTTTCAAGAGGTTTAAGAAGAAGGTAAAATTATGTGATGAAAAACATTAATCAATCACCAACATGATTTTTACATGGATTAATATTAATCAATCATCGTCATTATTTCCACATGGATGAAAAACATCATTAAGACACGTGAGGAGTTGAGTTAATTGCTTCTGTTATGTTCATTATCTTATTGATATACGGTTTCAAAAAGACATTTAACAATTTAATTTGAAATCTAGTGTTAAAGAAACACAGAACACAATTAACACGCTAACATTTATTCAACAACACAGTTGACAATATGCATACTCTCGAATTAAATATAAAGAATGAATTATAACCCCTTATTCTCTCCATTCCCCATCACCCTTCATCTTACTCAATAAATGTACACACACAAAAATTAGTGTCTCAAAATAACCTTATCATCACCACCACCCCTCATTTCCCCATTTTCTCCAACCACTTTCCCCCCTATATATTTCCCCACTCTTCCCCATCAATCAAACTTTCACATTTTTTCCCCCTTTCTTCTTGCAAATTAATTCCCATGTATACCCTTATAGCCCACCAATTCAAAAGATTTCCTATATCCACAATTCCACATTCATCTAATTAATTAAAATCCAACCCTTTTTTAGGATTATATAAATGCAAATTCCCTAGTAGATATCAATTCATTAAAATATATATTTATTTGGCACTTAATTTTGGGGCGGCGGGAGAAATGGAAATGGATCCGACGGAGCTGCGTCGGGTGTTCCACATGTTTGACCGGAACGGGGACGGGAAGATAACCAGGAAGGAGCTGAGCGAGTCGCTGGAAAAGCTCAACATACACATCCCGGAGAAGGAGGTGGTGCAGATGGTGGAGAAGATCGACGCGAACGGGGACGGGTACGTGGACATGGAGGAGTTCGGGACGCTGTACGGGGCGCTGATGGCGGAGATGCGCGGCGGCGGCGGCGGCGGGGAGGAGGAGGCGGAGGAGGAGATGAGGGAGGCGTTCAACGTGTTCGACCAGAACGGGGACGGGTTCATCACCGTCGAGGAGCTCAGGTCGGTGCTGGCGTCGCTGGGGCTCAAACAGGGGAGGACGGTGGAGGATTGCCGGAAAATGATCGCCAAGGTGGATGTCGACGGCGACGGTATGGTTAATTATGACGAGTTCCGGCAGATGATGAAGGGCGGTGGCTTTGCCGCCTTATCTTGAATTCTCATTCTCTTTTATTTCCCTCTCCCGCCTTATCCACTTTGGAAAAATTGAAAAAAACAACATTTCCATTGAAGTGTTTTTTTTCATTTGATTATAATTATTGTTTTGATATATACTTCTTACTCCTATATCATTGGCTTGGTGTATTTGTATAATTAATTATTTCATCATTAGAATTTTTTATTATATTCACCGCATACATACATACATACATATACATGTCAACATTTTGGTTGGCACGATGAGGACAACATGGCGGATAAATGATTTTAAATTTTTAATCTTTAGACTTTAGTTTCTAATTTGATCAAATAAGACAACAAATTGAGAAATGACAAACAATCCTTAAAATAATTACACAATCTAAGAATCTAAAGTCGATCCCAAAATGACCGCAAAATTGAATACTTGTTTTATAAACCAAACTCGGGAGGACCCAAATTGAATAAGAATTGAAATAATTGTAATCAAGTTAGTATTTGATCTAAATCGACCAGACCTAAATAAATAAAGCTCGGACATACAAAACTCAAAAACTAATTAGGTTTAAATTTAATCAGATCGAAACAGGTCAAACCATCAAATCATGACTTATTACTAACAAATTACAATTAGTTTGAATCAATTATGACTGTGATTTATGAAAAAGGTTTAGAGACATCATGAATTATTTTTCTAAAAAGGAATATGAAGTCTAAATTGATAATTATCCGAACCATATAGTAGCAATTCTTTTCTTTTGGGCCGAACTGCACATCAAGAATTGGCCCATGATACGTAGTCGGCCCTAATTCTGGAAAGATATGAAAACTAGCGCAACTCCCAAGCAGATCTGTGCATCCGACCGCCGGCTGCACTGAAGATACGCCGGCCTCGTCTCCGGCAACCGAGAAGCCCCGTGGAGCATCGGAGCCTCATAAAATGGACGCCACAAGTTCAAAGTTACTGCAGCTTCAGAAAGCGTTCGCCGAGCTTGAGAGTCACCGCGCCGTTGCTCTTAACCTGAAATGGAAGCAACTGGAAGAGCATTTTCATGGCCTGGAGAAGTCACTGAAGAGGCGATTCACCGAGCTGGAGGAGCAGGAGAGGGATTTCGAGTCCAAAATCGTTCGATCCAGGGAGATGTTGGAGAAACGCGAGGTGGCTGTTCTGGCTATGGAGAAAACTTCTCTCGAAAGCCTCCAAGAGAAGAGAGACGCTGCGGTTTCTGCTATTTCCATTGCTCTAGGTAAACATTCCGGCCTATTTTCTGCTGGATCTGATGTTGATAATGTTGAGCACCGAGTTGGCTCTTGTGTTGTTGAAGAAGAGCCAAGTGATGCCGCAACCACATCGATTGACATAGTAGTAGACTCTGGGAAACCTTATGAAGATGTAGAACTGGAGATCAATTTGTCTTATCCGGAGCTAGTTAGGTTATGCAGAGAGATGGATTCAGATGGACTGCACAAATTTATATCTGACAACCGTAAGAATTTGGCTGCCGTAAGGGATGAGATTCCTAATGCTTTGATGGCGGCAGCTGATCCTGCCTCTTTGGTTCTGGATTCACTCAAGGGCTTCTACAATTCATCAATGTCAAATTTGGATGCTAAGAAAGATGCTGGCCTTCTAGGAGTTCGAAGAACCTGTATTATGTTGATGGAGTGCCTTAGCATGTTATCAAGTCCCATCCCAGAAGGTATTAAGGAACGAGCGAAAGCTAAAGCAAAAGAATGGAAGCCAAAGTTAGATGAACTTGATGTTGATGCCATTCATGGAAACTCTTTGGAAGCTCATGCTTTCCTGCAACTAGTTGCCACTTTCTGTATTAACACGGATTTTGAGCCGGAGGATTTAGTCAAATTGGTGCCTATGGTTTCCAGGCGCCGTCAAATAGCAGATTTATGCCGTTCCCTTGAATTGTCTGATAAGATGCCAGGTTTCTATCCAATTACGACATTATTTCTGTTCATGTTTTCTTGTGGTGTGCTAATTAGTTAATGGTTTCATAATGTGATAGAGAAATGTATTTCGCTTGCTCTATATTTGATCTCGGGTCATCAAAAGGTGAATCTTTCCTGTGTTACTTTGATTTTGAGCAATGATGCCTATTAAGATGTTGATGTGCAGGAGGACACTTCTTATAACTTTTTTCATGATCTGCTATGCTATGTATTCAATGTTAATTAATAAGAACCTGTTTGGTATGGCTTATAATGAAGTTGCTGAAATGACCGAATTAGCTTAACCTGAACCTACAATTATATACGGAGTAACTAAATTAAAGAAAAATATTTCTAGAAATAAATGTTGGTGCATCAGCCAAAAAATTAACTTAGTTTTTTTAACTCAGTCAAATTGGCAAAATTTTCACTTTTAAAAATTTATCTGCTGATTCAATGACATTAAGAATGCGGTGTTAAAATAAGTTTGTGTCTGATATTTAAAACTGATTGAAAAGGGAACGATCAGCCAAAAATGAAGTCTACAAGCTGGTGGCAGTGACTGATATTTGCTTCATCCCCTAAATTATACTCCTTCCGTCCCGGAGTATTCGTCAAGTTTTGATTTTTGGAACTGTACATCTAAGCACTTTGACTCATCAAATTTTCTCAATGTGTAAGTCTAAATATAGTCATGTGTGATCTTGTTTGATTTGTCTAAACATATAGATTATTAATATATAATTTCTATAATTTTTTAATATACAAATTACAAGATAAAATGGATTAAAGAAGTGTATTGGATGGTGTGTAAAAATGAAAGTGGACAAATACTCTGGGACGGAGGTAGTATTTTATTTAGAATGTGAGTTTTAATGAGCTGGATTGATTGTGGGGTTTGGTAAGTTTTATGTGACACTAATGGTTAGCTGTTTTCTTCACAGGTGTTATTAATGTGCTAGTTAATAATGGAAGGCATATAGATGCTATTAATCTAGCTTATGCCTTTGGGGTAACAGAGAAGTTCCCACCCGTTTCTCTACTGAAGTCTTATTTAAATGAAGCAAGCAAAGCTTCTCCCAGTAAATGTGGAAATGCATCTCGCTCACAGGTTTGTGTATTAATCATGCCTTTTTATTCGGGAACTGGGTTGAGATAAATCAACAATTAGGCTAATTGGTGGGAAGTAAGATTAACTTTATTTGGAAAATGTTTTTATGGAAAAGAAAGTTGTTAGTGTAGTACCGAAATAATATTTTACTCCCAACATATTCATTTTCCTCATGAACACAGACAAACAACAAAAAATCCAGTAAAGTCCAACATAAGGTTTGGGGAGAATGTGTCTATGCAGACCTTATCCCTACTTGAAGGTAGAGATACTCTTTCCAAGAGTCCCATGGCTCAAAACAAACACAGAAGCACTAACAAAGCAAACATATTAGCACAAACCGAGTAAGATCATATATACAATGAACACACATACAGACACTAGCAACTAAAACCCAAGCACAGGGAGTACAAGCAACAGTCTAAGGCAAAAACACCCCAATATAAACTACAACCTAGGGCCCAGAGGTCTATTCAACTAGTCTAATCCTAATCCTAGATCTCTAGGTGTTCCTATCCAAGGTCATATCATTCACTCCAATCACGAAGAAAAACAAGGAAAGTATTTACATATTCTCTGCGCGAACATTCTCTTGAAACTAAGAATATTTCCTTTAATTTCTAGAATGATATCAATGAGAAGGAGCTCAACGCACTGAAGGCCGTGATCAAATGCATCGAGGACCATAAGCTCGAGCACCAGTATCCCTTGGGCCCACTGCAAAAACGACTTCTCCACCTGGAGAAAGCAAAGGCGGTCGCCAAAAGGGGAACTGAAGTTGCCAAACCCCAACCAAAACGACCCCGCGCTAACGGTTTTGCAAACGGGCCCCGGTTCGCTAGCGTTGCCACTGACATGAACAGCCCAAGAATGACCGACAGGTACCCACCACAATATGCAGCATATGACCGACCATATGCTTACACCGGACTGGTCGACACCCGCGGTCCCACGTTCAGTGCTCCGGCTTACGGCATTCCTGTGCATGGAAACTTCTTTGGGAATGGGTACCATTACCAGGCTCCTTACCTGCACTAATTCAAGCTGCTTTTATAAAGCTTTGACCCTCCCTCAGTTTGCCTAATTTGAAAATCTGTGAGAAACTTTAAAGAAGCTATAGCTTTGTTGATTTGTAGTAATATGTTGTACCAATACTTCCTTTTTTTTTGTAGTACTCCCTGCATTTCAAAAAGAGTTTACAGTTTGATTTTACAAAATTTAAAAAAAAAATTAAAAGTTAAAAATGTTTTAATAAAATTATGTAGAAGTGAGAAAGTCTTGCCCTTGTTTTGAAACAAATACAAATACAAAAAAAAAGTACCGAGTATATCAAACATCAAAACTAGAACTTTCTTTTGAATGTAGCAGTAAAGAGTTCCTAAAGACAAAATCAATAGTAAATTACTGATGGATGGATAAAACTGAATAATCCCAGCAAACATTAAACTAAATGCACTCAATTCTACAAGGCCTTCATTTTTTTTGAAACTTATTTCCATTAATCATTACATCGAGTTACTATTCCCCAGCTTGGTCAGTGTTTTCAATGGCTGCTCTGTAGAAACAAGCAAGAAATTCTGTGTTTCCTTCAGCCCCTTTCAATGGGGACTCAATCCAGCCTTTGCAATGGAAGCCATGACTTTGCACCCCATTCACAATCTTCTCGACGACCTATTCAAGAACGATCATATTCACTTGGTCTTACAACTTCTTGTAGAGCATTGAAAGTGAAATAAGTATAACGAAAACCATCACCAAATGCATACCTCTTGATGGACCAATGGATCCCTCACTATTCCACCACCCCCAACCTACAACAACAACAACAAAACCATCAAAATCCCACAAAAATAAGGTTAGAAGAGGGTGCGGGTACACAAACTTTGTAGTCTTATCCTAACTCTCCAAGAGTTCCTAAGGTCATATCCTTGGTTAGTTTTTGAAGTCGTAAGCTTTGTCTAATCGCCTCTACCCATTTATATGCCCTCTACTGCAAGCTAGAATATCTCTTCATTGGGGCCTCAACGCTTCGCCTTCTTACGTGCCCAAACTACCCCCAACCTACAAAGACCCATAATTCTATTGAGTTTTAGGTATATCATATACACAACTTCCTTCGTCCCATATTTAAATTTCACTGCTTTTTATGAATGTACCAAAGTAAAGTATTCATAACTTAATAAATCTCAAATATCATCTTTTCTTGAACTCTGCAAACAAGAAAATGCGAACTTAAATATGGGGACAGATGGAGTAAAGTTTACTCAACATGAACCGTTTGAAACATGCAAACTTGAAGGACGACAATTCAGAAAGGTAGTCCAGTAGAATTTATATTGCACATGACACAAATAGGATACTACTTGTGATTGAATATGTGAAATCATCAAACCATGAACACCATTTCATAAATGCTGTAAACTTTTTAGTGCTTGAGTTGCAAGGAAAGGATCATTATGGTAGCACTATTTTTGTTAGGTTTCTGATCAGCAAAGTAAGTGGTTATAAAAGAGTGAGTGTTGAAAACCATTTCTTACTTGGTTTCTGTGGGCCTCAAACTGAGGTTTAATCAAAGTAACTAATGTTGCATCTTCCTTCATCAAATTGACCACGGATGGCATGACCTGGTGCGGAGAAAAAAGGGAAATAGATGAATTTATAAACCACTCAAGCAGTAAATATCAAGGAGTGTTTCATTACAATCAACATAAAGCATAAAGAAATTTAATGCAGCTCATCACGAAATAGTTTAAAATATATAATCTGGAAGGTACCATACACAAAAAGGTATGCCAACTTCCCAAGTCCAAGAAACCTTACCAGAAGTATTGAAATAAAGGAGAGGTCCAAAGTCACCACATCAACCTTTTGTGGAAGGTCAGAAAGGTACCTCAGGTTTGTTCTCTCTATAACACTTACACGTTCATCCCGACGGATTTTGTCAGCAACCTGAGCAAGCAGAAAGAACGTACATGTAACTAAGTAGTTCATATACACAAATTACACACAATGCACATAATAGGTCAAAAATACTCTGTAACAGTTTAATGATTCATACCTGTCCATATCCTACATCAACACCATAAACATAGGAAGCACCATACTGAAGTAAACAATCAGTAAACCCTCCAGTTGACAATCCAGAGTCTAGAGCAACTTTTCCAGCTACATCAATCTCCAGTTTCTCAATAGCAGCTTCTAACTTGTGTCCACCTCTGCAAATCCACGAAACAAAACTATAGCCATTACATATATGTGACACACATATGTATAAGTTTCATATTTGGAAGACTATTTAAATTCTAAAAAGGGGTTTTCCTAATTTTCCATTTGACGGATCTTTACTTTCTTTGTGGACGTAACAGTCTGCAGTTTGAGAATTATACTAAACTATTTGTTTATGTGTTAGCTAACGTAAAAAAATAGTCAAATCCATCACCTGATTTAACTTTTAATCCATACATACCACTCTACAAATATTGAAAAAATCTCTAACATTGTCAAACTAGTAAAAAATGAAATACTTTATAAATTTGAATATGATCGAAGGTAAAAGAATTGCATTAAGAATTTACCCTAGAATGCAAAAACACCGCTGTTCACCAAATCCAAATTATGAAGAAAAGAAGATGAAAACAATATATATTCACCTACATACATATTTTGGAACTTCAGCTATGATCTCCACAACAGCTTTCTCAGGGATTGGAGTTCCAGCTTTGGTCACAATTTTACCATCCACAAGCACCTTCCCTGCCAGACGATAAAGAAACCCTAAAATGTCTTTCTCTTCTATGCAATAGCTTTTTTTCATAGCAGTGACTATATGAAGCTGGCAAAAACAATACAACCTTTGTGATTAAAGTTTTCAGAGTCCCATATAATCACCAAGTTTACCTTGTAGAATCCAAGACTGTATAAATGTTCTACTATATTGTTGGTATCTCTCCAAGCATATTTCATCTAGTCTCCTCTTCCTAACCCAAAAAAGACAAACAAAAACAAAAAAAGTTCATTCCTTTTGTACTTAAATACTTCAGAATTCAAGTATTTTCATTTCAAAAAGGAGAAATTACTTGTTCTGAATCTTCGCCGATGTTGCAAAATCTCTATAAACGCGACCCTTGATTCCCATCCATTTTGCTGAGAAAAAAAAACCGTGAAACCGGAAAGAATCAGACCAATAGCTTTCCTCAAATTCATAGGAGATTATGAACACAGCGATAGAGCAATTGTAGAAAGACAAAGAAATGAATACGCACCGGAGAACTGAGGAGCGAATTCTGATTTGGAGAGGAAATTGAAGCTATTTCTCGAGGTGAATGCGTAGTAGCTGCATAAGGGTTGTTTAAGCATCTGAAACCGCATGGTTCGCTTCTTCCCCACCGTCCAACCGCCGGCGATGAAATGAGGGAGAACTTGGGGTTTGGTGGCAGGCTTGCCGGTTTGTGGGGTAACCCGGATATTCAACCGGTCAATTGGGCCTGTATATTTGGTCCGATCATCCAATGTTCCAAATACTCCGTAGTTCTCTAATTTCTCCTCTTTTTTTAGTCTTTCCGTCTCGAAAATGATTATAAATTCTCTTTTTACGGAGAGTAAATTTTATAATGGTCCTTTATAATAGGAAGTTTCCTTATTTAGTTATCTATTATCAAATATTACCCCGGTGGTCCTTCTTTTATAGATATCTTTTCACAAATAGTTTTTTTCTTCTTCCATGTCGTCGTTAATTTGATGGCTAAGGGCCTGTTTGGGAATAGCGTTAGCATTTTGAAAAGGCTATCTACGGGCAGCGTTTAGCGTTAGCTTTTTCAAAGTAATCTGTACCGTTAAAATTTTATCTAAAACGCTACCGCTAATTTCTAACATTGTTTCCAAACAGGCCCTAAAATTATAATTTCACAATGATAATATATCTTTCTTGTCATACACAATCTAAAGAATGCTCATAATGCATCGTTTGTGAGTTACCGTTGCTTTCTACTATAACCATAGTCTGCAGATGTGATCTTTTGTCGGAATCCTAACGCACAATCATAGTCAACATTTTTGTGTTGTTTGTCTATCCAATATCAAAATATGTCACTGGACAATGTCAAATTATATTTTTGGCCTTGAAATTAACACCAACATGATAGAAGATAAAAAAAGACCATGTGTGAAAATGTACCCATAAAAGAAGGATTACAGAGGTAATATTCAATAATAGAGGATTAAATATGAAAATCTCCTGTTATAAAGAACCAATTATGGAATTTACTCTTTTACTCATCTTAAGATAAAGTTAAAATTTTAAACTTCTTTCCCAAAATACCTCCAATCAATGACAAGGGGGTGGAGGATATCAATGAAAAGTGAGGTAATTTAGTCTTTATAGTGTGTACATGTTACCAAAGTGAGAATATTGTAATTAATTTTGGGATACAAATTAGTAGGAGTCTTGTAATCAATTCGGGAGGGAAAAAATAATTTGTATTTAGATATTTCTCGATTACTTAAAGAAATTTTTGTTAGCTGATCCGAACATTTTAAAAAAAAAAATTGTATGAAAAAGTTTATGCAGAGAAAAGTTACAATAAATCACATTCAGGCTTCGACTGATAATTAAACCAAAATTATATAGAGTATAATATATTAATTACAAAAAACAATATTTTAAAAAATATTTTATAAAATAAATTTAATAAATTTATTTTTGAATTAACATCTTAAAATCATTTTTTAATTAATGGTCAGATTTGTGAATTTTGACTACAAAAAATCAAAATTGAATAGATATTCAAAGACAAAGGTCATATTTTGGTCTTTTTTTAAAAAATATTTTGTCATTTTTTAAAATTAAAGAATGAGCCTCTAATTTGTCTCCGTAGTTCTTTTCACCGGAAAGAATGTTCAATGAGCCTCTAATTTGTCCTACACATGCTCGATACACTCTCTTTATCGCAGCTATTATGTTGGGATAAATTGAACAAATCAATAAATATTCAATTTAATATTGGTAAAAAAATCAATTGTTTATCCAATGAAATACGATGATGATTTTATCAACCAAAGCCTATATCACACCTCAGTTTTTTAACCGTACCAGTAAAACTTGTATGATTTAAACAATGTAAACGGACAAAACGTGTTTGTACAATTTAAAATTTGGAAAATGTTACTTTAACCTTAATGGTGACATCCCAGCTCCATTGATGCTCTCCCTCCACTATATTTGCCACAAAAAAACATTTAAGGTCCATTTGGTACATGGAATTGACAGAATTAGAATTGAATTGAATTGAGAGTTTAAATTCTATGAAATAGAATTCTCCGATTCCAATTCATTTTTGTCATTACCACTTCCAAATTCACATATTTTTGTGCTACCAAACTGGAGAATTGAAATTGTTATCCCCAAATCCAATTTTATAGTTTGAATTCCGTGCACCAAACGGAGCCTTAACATGAATTCATAAAAGAAAGAACCTTGATTCTTCATCTGTGTACTTGCATGGGCAGTGTTGACATGTTATTATGGTTCTATTTTGAAGCAGCACCCATATTGGCATACACACCTAAGTATGTGTCCCATTTTGAAGTATGGCTATGGAAATTTGAAAAAATGGTTATTTTTTGTTAATTTGCTAACACTTTTGATTCATTGCAGTAGAAGAAACATGCATCTAATGATCCAAAGGTGAGAGGTGGTGCGAGTTAACATTCGGGCAAATCCCACAATGATGAGACCTAATTCTATACGAAACATGGCGAAATGTAAACCTTGTAGAATGTGAAGTTTACAATAACCTAAATGTGGCAGTAGTAAGCACATAATACAATAAAATGTGCATGGATATATATATAGTATTCACATCTCGTGAATGAAACCACTCGAGAAATTGATCGCATTTCAAATCAACATATGTTTTTAAAATGCAAGCACAATTTGTAACTGAAACTACGAAATCTACACAATATCTGTAATGCAATAGTTCGTCCATGAATAGAACAAAGAGAGAAAGAAGTGAAGATACCGTGTATGATGAAAAACCGTGATCCAATTGATGCATCCATGAAACTGCAAGCACATTGTCGCATTCGATAATCCAAGTAAAAACATTCGAGATCGGCCACCAAAAGCATAAACCTATTACTATTCTAACTCATTTTTACAGCAAAGTTTTAATACAGTCGTCTCTCCTAGAACACGGGGGTGGAGCCATCTTAAATGGAGTTCAACTAACTTCCAACACAAAAACAAAACAATGATAACATAAGACTTACACGGATTTCAACTTTGAGCTCCTTGCAAGTGTGCCCAGTCGTAGCCAACATGTTCCTGGGAAATTGTAACCACACAGAAACTTGTGCCAGATCAGCTTATAGGAAATTTACCCCCCCCCCTGTTGAATTTCATGATGAAATTCATGATGAAATTACGAAGGAGAAGAAGAGAAACGAAACTGAATTTTATTGAATGTATTCTCTGGAAAAATTACAGCTGGAAAAGAAGAAGTACAAGTATATATAGATGGGCTAAGAAAGGATGGAAGAGAAGATAAGTTTGCCACGTCACCATAACAAATTGAACTAACCAAAACTAATTCATAACTGAAAAACTAATCAGCTAATATGCTAACACCCCCCCCCCCCCCCCCCCCCTCAAGTTGGAGGGTGTATAAACCCCCAACTTGGAAACATGCTTGTGATGAAGAGCACCAGGTAGGCTCTTGGTAAAAAGGTCTGCAGGCTGCTCAGAAGTGGGAGGATGCAGAAGAGTGATGAGACCTTCTTGAAGCTTTTCACGTACAAAGTGACAATCCAATTCAATGTGTTTTGTGCGCTCATGAAACACTGGATTGGTAGCTATATAGATAGCAGCTTTACTGTCACACTTTAGGGGAATAGGAGTAATGTTTGGGACTCCAAGATCACTGAATAACCTGGATAACCAAGCTAATTCTGCAGTAACCCTGCGTATAGAACGATATTCTGCCTCTGCAGAGCTTAAGGAGACTGTGGCTTGTTTCTTGGACTTCCAAGAGATAGGACTTCCCCCCAAAAGAATAAAATATCCACTGACTGACCTTCTTGTGTTAGGGCAAGCAGCCCAATCAGAATCACAGTAGGCTTGCAGCTGGAAATCTGAAGAATCATTGAAGTAAAGACCATTAGAAAGAAAAGAATTGAGATAACGAAGTGTGTGTTGAGCAGCTTCCCAATGAGGAATTCTTGGATCTTGCATAAACTGGCTCAAAAACTGGACAGCAAAAGCAATATCTGGTCGTGTATGTGTTAAGAAATTCAGTTTCCCAACTAGACATCTATAGCTAGAGGGATCTGGCAATGGAGAACCAGTTTGAAGATCCAACTGTATATTGGTTGGTAAAGGACAGATGGCATGAGAGGATGGAGGACATGAAAAAGTTGAGAGGAGATCCTTAGTGAACTTCTGTTGAGTAAGGATAATGCCATTATCCTTATAGACTGCCTCTAGACCAAGGAAGTAGCCCATTTTTCCCAAATCTTTGATCTTAAAGAGCTGATGGAGATAACCCTTGAGATTGGAGATTTCAGTAGGATGATTTCCTGTGATGAGAATATCATCCACATAAACCACCAGATGAACAACAGAGGAATCTATGTGTTTGGTAAACAAGGAATAATCATTTTTGGAGGAAATATAGCCCTTAGACCTCAAAACAGTGCGCAGCTTAGAATACCACTGTCTAGAAGCTTGTTTAAGTCCATATAAGGATTTCTTTAACCTGAGAACCTGGTTAGGATTCGGAAGATGCATGCCTTTGGGTGGTTTCATGTAAATTTCTTCATTTAAATCCCCATGAAGAAATGCATTGTTGACATCTAATTGAAATATGGTCCAATGATGTTTAACAGCTACTGTAATGAGGGCTCTGACTGTTGTTATCTTGACAACTGGGGAGAAAGTCTCATGGTAATCTATACCAGCCTTTTGAGTGCAACCTCTGATTACCAGCCTTGCCTTATGCCTTTCTAAGGTACCATCAGACTTAAACTTGAGTTTATATACCCATTTACTGGTGATTGGCTTCTTTCCTTTAGGCAAATCACAGACTTCCCATGTACCAGTGTCTGCGAGGGCTTTAAACTCCAAATCCATAACATGCTGCCATGCTGGATCAGTATGTGCTTCTTCATAATTCCTTGGCTCCTGCATACATGTAACATTGTGCAACAACTGTTGACTAGTTTGAGTTAGAGCCCCTAAGCATATGTGTGAAGAAATGGGAGTGGAGGTAATGGTGTGGGAACAGATATGATCAAAAGAAGAAGAAGAAGAGGAAGTAGGAGGAAGGTTGGGAGAAATGGAGTGACAGACATAATCTTGGAGATATGTAGGTTGCTGGGAAGATCTGCTGGATCTCCTGGATCTCCTGAGTGGAGGTTGATGGTCAGGAAGAATGGGTTGTGTTGAGATGTGATGCTGAAAATCAGATGTAGAATTTGGGAGAGGTAAAGTACTGATAGAATCAGCACAGTCATCTAGGGGATGACTGGAATCAAGATTGGAAGGAAACAAAGGTGATTGAGGGAGTGAGGAATGAAACGGAAATATGGTTTCATGGAAAACCACATCCCTAGAATCCTCTATTTTCTTGGTTTGAAGATTATAGACTTTATAGGCCTTTTTTCCATAAGGGTAGCCTATGAAAACACAGGATGTGGCTCTGTCATCAAACTTATGTCTGCCTTGTGTTTGTGTGGAAATATAACACAGACAACCAAACACCCTTAAATGATCATATTTTGGTGGTTTTCCAAACAGAATCTCATAAGGACATTTTCCTTTCAAAAGTTTGGATGGAAATCTGTTAATGAGATATGTGGCAGTGAGGACACACTCACCCCAAAATCTGATAGGGAGTTTGGATTGGATAAACAAAGCTCAGGAGGTTTCAAGGAGATGCTTATGTTTTCTTTCCACAATACCATTCTGTTGAGGGGTATTCCTGACACTAGTCTGATGAATGATACCTTTAGAAAGGAAAAACTTGGAAGTGGCAGTGCTTTTACCCAGTTCAAGAGCATTATCAGATCTGACAGTTTTGATATTGACGTTAAACTGAGTGTGGACCATAGCAACAAAGGTTTGTATGATGTCAGGTGCATTACTTTTGGCTGTAAGGAGGTATGTCCATGTGGCTCTAGAGAAGTCATCCACAATGGTAAGAAAAAATGAGAAACCATTGTGGGTTTTTGTGTGATAGGGTCCCCATATATCTATGTGGATCAACTCAAAAATGTGTGTGGAGTGACTTTGACTGTGTGGGAATGGTAATTTGTGCTACCTAGCTCTAGGACAAACATCACAACAAGATAGAGAATCAAAATCAGTATTATCAAAGGAACATAACTGTTTCAGTTTGTATACAGGCAAATGGCCTAATCTCATGTGCCAAATCTTTACATTGAGATCTTTACCGGCTTTATTACAACAAGAATTACTAGGAACATTATTGTCAGAAAGAAGAGATTGCTTGTTGACAAGGCAATTTTCAGATTTGAATGAAGGAGAAATGACTGGAGTTATGTAAAGTCCACCACACTTTTCACCAAGATCCACTGGCCTCTTCCTGGAAGGGCCCTGCAAGGTACATTTGTTGTGTGTGAAACAGGCTGTAAGTCCTGATTGATGACATAATTTCCCCACAGACAACAAATTATATTTGAAAGTAGGAACAAAGAGAACATCATTAAGAACAATGTCATTGAGTAAGTGAGCAGTTCCCTTTTGGAAAACAGTGATTTGTTGACTGTTGGGTAGAGTAATTTGATGTGGAATAGGCAGATTTTTCAGGTTGGTTAGAAGGTGAGGATTGGCACACATATGGTCAGTAGCTCCAGTGTCTAAAATCCAAACATAGTTATCAATTGTATGCACATTATTACATATATGCTGAGTCAAAAAATCAGAAGAACAAAGCATCATACCTGCCATATGTGCTGAAAATGCTTGTGAAAGGTTTGAATCAGCAGCAATGTGACCTTTGTCTCCATGACATGTGCTGAGAAACCTCATGAATTGACTGTAAATCTCAGGATTGAATGTACTATCAGTCTTGCTTTGTCCGCCTTCAGACTCATTCATTTCTGGTTCTTCCTCATTCACCACATTGGCAGCCATTTTCTTTCCCTTGTTGAACTTATAATCCTTGGGAAATCCCACAAGCCTGTAACACTTGTTGGCAGTGTGTCCCTTCTTCTTGCAATAATCACAGCTAATGATCCTTTTATCTTCATATCTTCCTCTGTAAGATGATTGAGTGTTTGCATTAAGAGAAGCATGATCGGGAACAATGTGAGGTGTACTTTGAATTCCTCTTTGTTTTTCCTCTTGTATGAGCATTCCATAAGCTGCAGAAACTGAAGGCAAAGGTCTCATCATAAGGATATTTCCCCTGGTAACATTATAGTCTGAGTTAAGTCCCATAAGGAACTGGACCAGTTTCTGATCTTGTTCATGTTTCAAAAGTGCTTGAACAGCTCCACAATTGCACCTGGGAAGGCTGCAAACCAGTGCCAATTCGTCCCAAATTCCTTTCAGCTTGGTGTAATATGTGGCAATATCTGAATTTCCTTGTGAAATTGAACAGATATC